TCTAGAGACAGCCTACAATGAAAGAGAGAAGAGGCGTCGCTGGTGCGTACTTACGTGCACTGCGTGGAGGTCTCCAGGCTCGGAATGTTATGGTGTTGAATACGGAGGATTGAACGAAAAAAGAGAGCTTTGACTGGCCTGCATCCGAACGTCAGGAATCGAACCCGGTCTCCCGCACATCTTGAAGCTGTAGCTATAGTGCTAACTACCAGCGGGTGTGCGCCGCGCACCACGTCCGAGTTGCTCTGCAATACTGAAGCCGCGTTAGGAAGGGATGTTCTCGGTGAGTGTACCGAGTAAAGATATTCTCGAAGGATCCTGGAATTTTCGTGTAGAATCGCCTGGTCAAGGCTAGAATGTGTGTAAGTCGAGTCTTCGGGGGTGGAACCAACATGACAAGTGAAAGCTGGAGGGGCCAAACGGAAACGCGTCGTCACTGGCACAGGGGCGGAGAGTGAGGGAATGATGGACAGTCGTGCTTGCTTGAGCATTCATCTCATAGAAGAGGGCCAAAAAAAATGTTCAGACAGATGTTCAGAACTCTCATTCGAACGCCAAGAATCGAACCTGGTCTCCCGCGCACACGGAGTATCACTGTATCATGAAATATGATCGATGATTGGTGGCGCGTGTGCGCCGTGCACTACGTCCGAGTTACTTTGCAACACCGGCGTGCGTTAGGAAGGGACGTTTTTGACGAATCGGCGTAGTTCAAACTTCGGTGCTGAAGCTTTGGAGTTTTCCGCGAACGCCGAAGGATTGTTGAGTTAAAGACCAAGGTCTACAGAAAAAGTTCCTGGAGCAAAACCCAGAAAGCCAAGATGCAGAATCCCCAGCAGGTTGCATGAAAGCGACACAATATGTTGCAATGGCGCCATGGAAGTCAAGACCAAGAGACGGCCCGGGAATGACCCGGACCGCGAATTGTCTCTGCGACTGTCCTGATCAAGAAACGCGCGCGCGAGAGTGAGGACTCGGACTACAGGCCCGTCCCTGCCTGTGCTGGTCACCACCATATCTCCCGCGCTCCCGTCGCCGCCCGCTAGCGAATGAGCCGCAAGCACGAACGATACACTCAAAGAGCACGCCTGTCGATTCTGATGTCCCTCGAGCGTCTCTCGGTCGTCTTGAGCACCAGCCGAACTCTCCAAGGCGGCGGTATGATGAATCCGCAAGTGGCGACGGAGGACAGGCCAGGAAAGAAGCATCCAGGGTGGCGCCTCCATCCACCACGAATGACGGTGCGTCTCCATCTGTAGTCGCGATTGTTCTGATTTCGTCCAGGAAGCCTCTTCATTGCCATCGTATTCGCATCCGCGCACTTCGCGTTCATCTCACGCGGTATTGATGGCAAGTATAGGCAGATAAAAGAAGAAAAAAGAATAGTCTTTTTAGCGTCGACGGCGCAGGAGCAACGCAGGAGACCGCAGAAAGCACCGCACTCAATCTGGGACACGGCCCTTATGGCTCTGGGGTTGAGCCTTACGACGACACGCACGGTACCAGCATGCCTGAGACGCAGGCCCGAGAATAAGATCGTTTTTTTCGCGAGCAGCCCGGCACTCCTTACCAATACCTCATCCTCGATGTAAGGGCCAGGTGGGTTTTCATCTGCGCTTACCCTCAATGTATGCTCATCTCGCCCATGAAGGTGCTTAATCACCATCCCGATCCATACTTGAGTCTTTTGTCGCCTTCATCGCGCGTTTTGTCGGACTTGGCGCAGGAGATCGCGCAGAAAGTCACTTCAAGCACTGTCGTCAATGTCGGACAGGGGGGCAGCCCAGACGGCAGGGCGAGAATGGAACGGCCTGAGACGCAATATCCGCACTTCGCAAGCAGCCCGGCGCCTTTGCCCACTTATACCATCGCGAATAGTAACTCGTCCTCATTGCACAGGACCGGTGCGTTTTCTGTTTGCGCTGAGCTGTACATCGTGCTGATCTTGTCCATGAAGGTTCTTCGTCGGCATCCCGATCCGCATTCGACTCTTTCGCGTCTTCTTTGCGGACTCGATGCGCAAGAGACCATTGAATTCCCGTCCTCACTATCGTAGCGCGTATGGGTCCGTAGCCCAGCCTTATCGTGCCGACTGCAGACAAGATGAAGCATACACCCTCGGAGTCCCTTTCCAGTCCTTCGTGTCTCCCTCCTCGGCCCTATCGTCGGCGCAGGGAACCACGGAAAGCACCGCCAATCTTAGACACGGACGTGGCTACATTACCATGGCCCCGCATTCGAAAATTGACACACCGCATCCCCCGTCTTCATCTTCGAGTCTTCCCACCCTCGCCCCACGAACAAGATCGCGCAGACACCATTCCAATCTGAATCTCGGTCCTTCGCGGCCCCTCCTTGCTTTCGTCCCACCCAAGAGCACCGCTATCGAGTTAAGACGTCGTTGTGTGCGCGACCGCACCCAATCTTTCCCCGCGGTGCCTTCACGCGCACGCCTGACGGACGCCTCCACCCCCGGGAACCGGGAACCCACCCTCCGAACCGCGCTCTCCGCTCGCCGAATCGTCAGCGCAGAGCCGCGCCTCCATCGTGGCCAATCGTCTGGGACACTCATTGTACTCGTCATGGTGCGCTCCATGACGTCCGCCTCCGTCTGTCTCCCCGCTCACCTTCACCTCCACCTCTGCAGACGCGGATGGACACGCACCTGCGTCTTCACCGCCTCCTCTGCCTCGCTACCATCGCTACCGTCTGCATCCCTCTCCTCGCCAGCACCCGCTTGTACACATGCGTCCCTCGACACCTCATCCCCGAGCGCCACCTCGACTTCCCCACGCGCCCCGCCATATGTGGCGACTCCATGGGGGTGAGCACGCGCGCATACGGGGCATTGGACCCTGCAACCTCTCTGCCAGCGCGCCGCTCTTCGTGTCTTGCGTCTTGGCCTGCATCTTCTCCGCTCGTGTCTCCCCCTACGCCCCCGCTTGCGGGTCGAGTGGATCCTTTGGTGGATGGAGTGTACCCCCCTGTACTTGTTCCCGGACATCATGTTTCCAAACGAGCGTCATGCGCTGCGTGGCGAAGGAGTGCAAGCACCTGGTCATATGGGCCATGGCGCCATTCGGCAGCGGGCGCGAGGTGGCCATGGATATGAACGTAGATGTGGCGGGGGAAGAGGAGGCGGAGCATGAGCAGGAGGGAGAGGAGAGGAAGGAGAGGAAGAAAGGCGAGCACCGGTTCCCGGTGCGGTGTGCGGCGGTGGCGTAAGCATCAAGTTTGGGACGGGGCGCGGAGGGTAATCGTGCCTCTCTTTACCCTCGATGGTGGGCTCGAGGTGGATCTGGTCGTGGATCTAGGCATGGGGATGGGGATGGGTATGGCGGGGCAGGATGAGGAAAGGAGGGAGAGGGAGCAGGAGGAGGGCTAGGACGACGACGAGGAGGAGGTGGGCGAGCATTGGTGTCCTATGCGGTGTGCGGCGAAGGAGTGCAAGCATCGGGTTCGGGAGGGTGTGGGGCGGAGGCGAGGGAGGGACGGTGAAGTGGGAGGGAAGGACGGGCGGGGAGGGGCGGAGTGCCCTCGCACGACTTCGTTCCAGGAGGAACGAGACGCCGTTCTTTGCCCTGCAGAGGAGGTCATGGAGGGGCTGCAGCGCACGCATCGTGCATCCTCCACCGCGTTTTGTGCCCTGCGCTCGCGCCTGTGAAGTCCTTAGGTCGCTCGAGCCAGCGCCGTACCGTGTATGCGTCGTTACCCGCGCCGTGCCATTTGGAACGAGGTGCGCCAACCCCACCTTCTTTCTGTCTGTTTGCTCAGGACACCCCAGATCGGCTTTGTCGTCGTCTCCCGGGTTCAGCTGCTGGCGGTCTCATACTGCAGGCTCGCGATGGCCCCCCGCAATCGACGCTGGCCAACTTCGGCTCCGTAGTTCGCACCCGCGTCCCTCACGCAAGAGCTTCGCCGCACGTACATCTGCTCGACAATGCGCGCGCTATGCATCATATCCAAAGCAGCACTAGCGCGGCGTCGCCAGTGGTCGCCCAATGTACATATTACAGAAGACTTCTGAAGATACGGACGGATTCACTGCAACCGTTTCGTGTACATGGTCCTGTCGTACCATGCGCGTTGCGCACGTAATCGAATCCGCCCTCTGCCCCGACTCCGGGCCCTCAATTCAAGAGCTCAGGTTTTGGACTTTTCTCCTGTTCCGCCGCGCTACATACGCTCCCGGCATGAAATCATTTGTATTTGCGGCGTTCTTTGCCGCCGGGCCCATACACACAAATTCGATGAAACCCGGCCTACGACAGGAGCTTTGAGGAAATTTTGGACGGCAGTTGTTGATTCGGAGTGCATGCATCATTGGAGTGCTAAAACAGGAAGCCCTGGTGGTGGGCCAAGCAGGCAAAAACCGGCGGAAGCGGTGACCAAAACCGTTCACTATTCAGATATTTAGAAGCCAGGAATCGGACCCAGGTTCCCGTTTGTCGAAACGACCATAAAATCACTAACGGGTGTGCGCCACGATCCACAGCGGGTTTGCGCCATGCACCACGTCCGGGTTAACATCCCACACATGCGAGACGAATTGTGAGAGGAGTTTGAAGCGAAAACCTGCGATGGAATTTTGGATATCCGGGTGTACGTAGAAAGCTGCAACGTACTTTCTATCCCTTTTGTGTTGGTAAAAGTCCTTTTCCGGTCGGCAAAAGCAAAAGGATTGAACACTTTAAGTACTCGAACGCCGGGAATCGAACTCGATCTCCAGCGAGGAAACTCGCAAAACTTTGTACAATTAAGCGGGTGTGCGCCATGCACCGCGTCCGAATCATTCTCCTGCACGAGAACCGAGCTATGAGAGGATTTTTGAAGCGTGAAATTGACGAATCTTCGAATTTTGAGGTAACTAGCTGTGAGGACGCGATGTCCTTATCCGACAAGTGACTGTCCGTTGAATTATTCCTCTTGCGTTGGAAATCCCTTTGTGAGTATGTATCGCGGGTCGCAAAGAAGCAGAATATCACTTCGACTCCGTGCCATTCGACCGCCGGGAATCGAACCCGGTCTCCCGTGTGATATGGAAAAGTTGAAAAAACGGCAAGAGAATCACCAGCGGGTGCGCACCCAGCGCCACGTACGAGTTATCCTTCTGTATCGTGGGCGGGTTACCAGAGGAGCTTTCAATTAAATCTAAGCGTATATCGGACGTCAACGTCGCCCAAGAAAAAATGGAGGCGCGTTCAATCCGCTCCGCTTTTGTAACTTTCGTTCTCGTTTTGCCTCTCAACAGAATTATTGACTATCACTTCATAGTCTGGTGAAGAGGCGAAACCCAAATCACAATGAACCTTGAGCCACTGTCTGGTTAGACAAAAAAACCGGTGAGGCAGGAGCTCATAATTCGGACGCCGGGAATCGAACCCGGATCGCCCGCATGTAACTACTGGAGGCGATGAATTACGAGCGGGTGTGCGCCACACACCACGTCCGGGTCTTTCTCTCAGTATATCAGAGGTGAGCTATGGCAGGAGTTCCTCAGCACGGATCGGACGTCGGCGTCGAAAACTTCAAACAAAAGTTGAGGACGGGCAGTAAGTTACGTTCGAAATCGAAGGCATTCATGTTGACAGGCGAATGCCAGGTGACGTTGGGAGAAGCAAGACGAAGGCCGAAACGGAAGATGCTTCTGGTTCAAAAATCAGCGGGCGCGCCATATGATTCGGACGCCGGGAATCGAACCCGGATCTCCCGCGGTAGACAGTGGAAAATAACTAAGTCTGGCGGGCGTGCACCATGCACCACGTTAACGTGGGTGGTGGGTTATGAGAGCTTGTTTCGTACATGGTGCGTTTCTGGGTCGAGGTTGCTTGGCTGAGGCCTGAATAAATTAGTAGAGTCGCAAGACTCCTTTCGTTGAACCCAGCATAAAATCAAATACAAACCCCTACATTCAGACCCCGGGGAATCGAACCCGGTCCTCCAGCATCACAGCCATGAGAAGTCGCCATTGGAATCGAGGCTGGCATGCACCGCGCACTACGTCCGAGTTCTTGTTTTCTTTGACTGGAAGGGTAAGAGGGTAGAGATACGTGTAGCTGCGATGAGAACCCATTCTCGGACATCCTGAGAGGTTGTGCGTGGCACACGACGCACCCGAGATTGGGGGTAACTTCCTGTGTACAAAGAAATGGCGCCGCTCTGTACGGGAAAGGCTAAGAAAATTGGAGGGTTTGTGCTCATTCGAAGGCCGGGAACCGAACCCGGTTTCCTGCGTAGAACCTCGTGAAAGCATGGAGTGCGACTATTAGCGAGTGTGCACCACACACCGCGTCCGAGTTTCTCTTAGAAAGTGGTGCCACCCCGGGAGGGGAGGTCCCGAACTGAACTTCTCGACGGGCGAGCCGCCGCCCGCATGAGCATCTATGATCTGCTATGTCCAGGGCAAGCAGTGAACGCGTTTAAATTGGAAGCCGAGTTGGGACGAATGCGCAGGGCGTGGATGGCGGATTATAATCCGTGAAATAGACCGGAGCGAACCAAGCCGCAGAATCCCAGAGAGCGCAGCACAAAAGCGACCATGAAACTTGAAGTTGAGAAGAGACGGCCCAAAGTAGCCGGTATTTGTCTCTACTTGCCTACAGCTTCCCAACATGCTCTCCGAGTCGACCACCAATCTCTCGTGCTGTACAAATGCCTAGCTTCTCTGGAATCGAGCTGAAAATGCCTTCCTTCTTTCCGATCGCACGCGCGGCGGATTGCCTTGACTGAAGGTCTTTGAAGAACACGGCGTCTGTGAAGCATGTGAAGTGTCCAACTGGGTCATTCAGTTTCTGAACGCCAGGATGAGAACAACAGGGCATGCTTCCACCAGAAGTGGCCCCACCATCTCATCTACTGCACAATGCGATTCAATGCGATTCTGCAACGGCTAGCAACAGAGCGGCGCCGGGATATACAAACACGCGTCTGCCATACCCCAAGGCGGTCACATTCTGGGTGGCTTTCCATCCCCATATCACATCGCGAAAGGAACGACTCTTTCTTGCAAGGGCTACCGAGGTACGTTTGCTGTTACCAAATAGCTACAACCTGTGCTATTATCACCGTGAAGCTTGTTGATCTACAGGGTTTCTCGCATCCGCCTCCTCGTACCGTCAGACTCAGCGGCACAGGAGACTACAGAAAGTTGGGAGCATCGCTGTCAATGTGGGGCAATGGAATAGGCAGTGCGATGCATACAGGCACAGGGAGATCAAGGCTTCGCGAGCCGCCTTGCAGTCTTACCTTGTCTTCGTCGCAAGGGCTATACAGGTGCGTTTTCTGTCCACCCTCAGGGTATGTACTGATTTCGCCTAGCAAGCGCCTCGCCGACATCCCAAATCGGACCGTGTCCTCTCTGGCGCTTTTCGTCAAAATCAGCGGCGCAAGAGACCGCCGTCAGCTCCACCGTGACGCACAAATCGTCATGCGTTCCCCAATGTTTACGGGAAAGGCGCGACCGAGACACTACGAGCGCACTTGTGGATAGCCGGGTCCCGACGTACCCGGCGCTCCTCGTCGTCTCGACCTTCAGTCGGCTCTTCCAGCGTCAGGTCTCATGAGCGTGGGGTTTACGGGGGGACATCTAGGTGGTTTTTTATCGTCACTGGGAAACCCGACTTCTCCGGCGAGGGCTGGGTACGTTCTCTGTCTGCCCTTAGCTGAAAATCTACTTATTTTGCTGTCAAAAGCTTCTCCATCGCCGTCTCAATCCGGATCGCAGCCCTGCGCGCCTATTCTTCGTAAAGCACCGTCGGCGGCTGCGCGCGTGCTGGACCGCCACCCCATCCAGATCGCAGTCCTTCGCGCTTTTTGCCCGACTCAGCGGCGCGATGGAATAGAAAAATTGTCACCGTCGACGTTGAGCGCGCATGACTGCGTAGCCCAGCCCTATCGCTTCCAATCTTTTTTCTTCCGGCTGCCACGCACGCGCTCCGCCGCGGGCGATACCATACACGATCCGGATCTCTGTCCTTCGTGTCTTGGCTGTCGTGCTTTTAGTCGGACTCGACGGCGCAGGAGACCATCGCACTCACTTTGGGACACGACGGCAACCTGTGGAGCCCATCCCTACCGCGGAGAGCTTCCTTCTCCGAGCTTCTATGCATGCACTGGACGGATACTTCTACATCAGCAGCAGCACCCTCCGAACCGCATCATACTCTCGCCCAATCGCCCGTGCAGAGCTACGCCTCGAGGATGGCCGTGCGCACAGGAATCTCCGTGTGCTCCGGGTCATCACCAACCGCCGATGCCTCAGTCTCCGCCTCCGCCTCCACTCGCCCTCGTCCGCATCCATCGACGCAGAGGTAGACACATGGCCGCCCGCCTCCGCGGACCTCTTACTAGAGCTGACCTCGATCTTCATTGTGTGCCCCGCGATGCGGGGCTGAGCAGAGCACAAGGACATCGAGGTTCTGTGTCTGCGATACCTGCGGCTTCTCCGCTCACGCAGCTCGACTGAGAACGACGGCGCATATCGGACAACGAGGGTCGGTGTCTGTGATCGCTGCGTCTTTCGGCCTCTCATGTCTTCGCCGTTTCTGCACCCTTCCTCTGCGCCGTTTGCACCCTCTTTGGTCCTCCCCAGTCTCCGCGTCCCTCGAATGGAGCGCCGTTGGCCGTCGAGGGCCAGGGCAGACACCGCGGCTGCTCCTCGTCGAGGGGCTGGACATGGGCGACGACATGTACATGACATGGACATGGAACTGGGCATGGCGGGGTACGCGGGAGGAGGAGGAGGACCAGGACCAGGACCAGGACCAGAAGGTGAAGGCGGAGGGTGAGCATGCCTGGTGCTGTGCGCGGCGTCGTGCAAGGATGATATGGATGAGTAGAGAGGGGGAGATTTGCAGGTGGCAGGCGCGGGTGTGCGCCGGAGCGGCTGCGTTCTTTGTTGCTTTGAGGACGGGCTGCAGCACGCGTACTGGTGCATCTGCCCGCACTTTTGCGTGAAGTCATCGACCACATTTTGCGCCTTTTGGACTCGCTGTTCCGGCCGACGTCGATCTTGCGATGGGGCTCTCCAGGTATCGACGTTCGCCGTGCTGTATGCTTCGTCGCCTAACCTATGGACACGGTGCGCTCGCTCGCTCGCTCCTTCTGTCTACTCTCTTGCTCACGATGCTCTAGGTACCCAAATCCTCCTTTTACGATCCCCAGCGGCCATCAGTTCTTGGCGCACACACCCGTTTTGCGATGGCCATATCGACGTGGGGACGCTGGCGGATGTCAGCGCTGTCATGAGCACTGCTTTTTGGTCAGCGCCTGCCGCGTCGCGCCCTTGCGATCGCCTCTCGATGGCCGCTACGCAAGACTTCGACGCGGGCGTGCTAAAGCGCGAGCCCGGAGCGCGCCAACCCGCGCAGCACGTGTACTCAAAGGCGCTCCGCCTCTTCCGCTCCCGCTCCCGACTCGTTGCAGCCCTACCCTCATTGCTACGCCCCCGGCGAGCAAACCTCGAAGTCTTCCTGTCGTTCCGTGCCGGCCTTGATGGTCGCGTACCTACGTGTGCAGCTAGCCTGTCACCGTCGTCTTCGGATTCTCGAGGCTCTTCTTCTCCGACTCTACATGGGCGCACTTTGGGCTCGCTTCGTAGGATTGAACCTGGGCATCGCTGGGGTCGATGCACGCACAACGCTTGAAACGAAACGGAGGGCAGGCGTCCTTCCCGTGGCCTACGTACCCGTCTCAGGGTTTCGCGATCCATATGCTCATCGGGCCACCCCCACCTGAATTTTGCGTTTCCGCCCCTTTGCGCTGGCGGATCTGCCTTCCGATACACTGGGCAGCGCATACAGTCCTCGCAGCGGTTCTTCTCCGGCATGCGTACGGCGGCTGTAGCTCGCTCAGATGCACGTCGGGGGAACTAGACGGCTACATAGCACACATGGCCAGATTCGGGGTCCGTAGCTTTGCTCGCAGACGTGCGCTGCTGAGTGACCTTTAACTCTCTTACCTCGGACTTCTGTCAGTGCCGTTAGAGGAGCTCGATGTGTAGGCGGACAGTGCCGCCGCCGTCGAGGGAGTTTCGGAGACCAGGACAAAGTGGGAGGTAGTGCGGCGCCGTCCATGGGTGAACCGCACCCATCCAGCATTCGCCCCCTCCTCGTGTTGTGTCGCACACTTGGCCCCTTTGTCAGTTCCTCCTGCGGGAGCCGTCATTCGCACCCATCTTCTGCGGTCGCGACATCTGCCTTTCGTCTTGTGGTCCCGTCACTCGCCTCAAAGGATTACTACACTCGGACGGAAGCGCGCCGCGCCGCCCAACGCAATGTCTGTACGGTACCTCGGCTCTCGCGGCGTCGTGGACCAGGGAGTGACTGAATGCTCGGATGGGAACGGGGCATGCGCGTGCGTGGGATGGCCGCGTTGCAAAGTTATTGCAGCTACTGTCCCTCCATCCCGATTCTGCGCTCTAACGACATTTGTACATCCCAGGAGTACAAGGAAGCATCCGCATCACTTTGACCGTCCTCGACCTTCAAGCTTCAAGCCGGCCGGAGTCTGGGCACACTCCGTCGGCCATCCGATCTTCGTGCCTTCTGGTTTCACTGTCTGGAAAATCTTTCCCTCGAAATCTGTTCAGATATATTGAAGCAGTCGAGTCGTAAACACTAATTGGCACCGACCGATCCACGCTCTCGTGGTCTAGTAGAATGATACGCGCTTTGGGTTTTGCTTTACTTGTGCGGGGTCCCGGGTTCAAATCCCGGCGAGGGTCTTTTTGCGGTGAGGCTCAATGCGTTTCCGTTGCAGCAACTTTTCGTTGTTGGGCTTGGATACCGATAGCATAATGGCGTGTACGTGCTACTTCTTCAACAGCATCCCCAGGAATCAAGACCCGTTGCCTATTCGACCCTCTAGAGTCTACAAAAAGAAAAGAATTGCAGCTTTTAGGTGTGAGCCAGAACATCTCGGCCCTCGCAATGATTGATTGATTCTTCGTTAACCTCTCGGGGGACGTAAACTGGTGAGTGTCATATGCTTTTATACACACCATCATTTCTATCCAGCGCGGTGAGTTTGTTTAGATTTTTCCACAAAACCGAAATGTTCAAGACTTGTAACAGTCCAACAGAGTAGAAAGGGTCTATCCTTGACTTTGATACACCCGACATCCCGACAACTTTGATACACCCGACATCCCGACAACTTTGGCACCCGCTCTGTTAGGAGGTTTAATGCTGATCCTACAAAATACCGAGCGAGATGTTCCGCTTTTAATCTGTGCATCTTCCGGCTTCTTGATGCGGGCTTTAGTCAAAAAAGGGCGTGCACGATAGACCGTCCAACTTATGGCCCAACTTTTCACAAGTTGAGACCCAAGTTGGAGCCCAAGTTGGGCCTCAAATCCTATAATGAAACACCCTAATGAATTATGAAAATAACCTACTAGATCCAAATTGTCAACTGCTCAAAGCAGCGGTAGCCCCCATGAACGAGAGGGTAGGACGAGCATTATTCAAGAAAGTCAAGCAGAACCCGGCCAAATTCCAGGATAATGGAATCCAGAAGGTGGAAGTGGACACCCAACCCGACATCATGTTTAACTTACCAGGTATGCTCTTATCTATGGCTCCCAGAAAGTTTTTACCAAGATTATCCGCTCGCTACGCCCAATTCCGCACCGGAAATGTTTGCAATATTGGTCTCGCTCGCATGGCAATGTATCTTGAACCTCCGGGTGAATCATGTAATCAAAATTCTGGGGGCAACACTTACAGAGGCAAATATACACAACCATCGGTTGTAGTCGGTTGCCTTGCGGTGTGACCGTCTTTTAACAGATAAAGTAAAACTTGGCCCACTCACGTCGAAAAAGAGATGGTGTTGAACACCTGGAGTGGACTGCTCATGGATGAGGATGCTTTGCCGGATGATTGGACCCGAAGGAGTTTTTAGTGGGTATGTGTGGGGACGGGCACCGCCCTTGATCGATCCGGCAGCTTTGTACTTGTTTGTTCTCAATTGCCGCTTTCTCTTTCATGTTCCGTCCTGCAACTCCTTGCTCGCGCATGTTGGGCACAACATTTGGCTGGGGGAAATCTTTTTTGAGTGCTTAGGTGTATGGAACAGAGGCTATTTCCTCAAAATATGACCCACATTCTTTATTGTCTCGACTTGGTCTCGACAACATTGATGAACACCGTCCATTGTTCGAGTAATATGCCCGGATGAGCACCGGTCGCTGGCGGTTGTTGGCTGCTGTCGGGTACCACCGGTGACCGGCGATCACCACCAGTCATTGATGATTAGATAGCGGTTTTGTACATGTTTCAATCGACCCCTATGAACTCCGGTGGCTGCTGGTGGTCTCGTCGCGAAAACCGCCGGTTTTCTGAGGCTGCAATTTCAAAAACTGGGCAATGGCGTGATCTCTGACTCTTGACGGTCGCCAACGGTTCCCGCCGGTTTTCCCCAGCTCTCAACACAATGTCTGGCGCCGCCCCTGCTCCTGCTGTCAACTCTGGGCCTTTCAAAGGTGTCATCGACATGAAGCGTTCCAAACCCGAGCTGGAAGCCATCGCCATTGCCCTCAACATCCCTACCGTGGATGGGAAAAAAAAGAAGCTCAACAAGGACCAGCTCGTCCCTCTCATTGTGAAGCGCCTATTCACAGATGAGCCGTCCTTGCAGAACGATCCCACCTTCTCCGCCCTCTATGGGAAAACGACGGGAGGGAAAGGAGGTGCAAAGAAGACGAGCGCGGAAAAAAACGAAGAAGTCGCACATGAGCAGTCTAAGCCTGCCCAAGCTTTGACCGGGTATCTTTTTAATGCATTGTCTCTTTCTATATGTCTTATATGTTTTGCCAGTGCCAATCTCAAGCTGCATGAGAAGAAGGTCGCCATGGACCCGCCTGCTAGCTTTGGACGGGTGGGACTATCCTTGCAAGGCAACAGTGAGTTTCTGCGTCTCCTCTCCTTCTCTCTCTCATTGTTTGTAGCCAAGAAAGCCAATGAGAAAGGTGCTCTGCCATCTCAGGCTCGTCCGCCCTCGGACACCAGCAGCCTCACGAGCGAAATGGCCACTAGGCCCAGTACTCCTGTCAGAGAAGAGGGCAAGAAAGAACAAGGTGTCAAGGACGTTGACGACGAGGAGAAGGACCTAGACGAAGAGGAGAAGAACATCCAATTTTCCACTCAAGCGAGCAAGGGTATAGGTGTGCAGCGTACTCAACACTTATTCTTTCCTCTAATGCGGCTCCAGTCGTTGTCCAGTTCAGCCACCCGCATCGCCAGGAGGTCACTCCTCACGAAGTCATTGTAGGGGGTGTAGCTATCACCAACTCCATCGCCCCGGGAGGAGCGGTCACTTTCCATGCCAGTCTCAAGGACCTTGTCCCCCTGGCGCTCAACAGTTCTTCGCCTATGAAACGTACTTTACAGTCCCTCATCCATGACGCCTAGCTAATTTTTTTTTGTAGAAGACCGTAGCGGGCGTATTGCGAGACCAGGCTTGGTGGAGCCTACCCACCCTCTGGACATTGGCTCCATCGCCCAGAATTTGGATGGGCCATTCCATTCCAATCTCAGATTTGAGCGTACAGACACCCTGGTGTTGGAGACTACCGAGCATCCGGGGGAATTCAAGTGCGGCTTGTTCTATGAGCCGACCAGTGTCAGTTTCCCAGTACCTGAGTAATATGAATATGGCGCTGACTCCACTGTAGGCTCAGCTGCAACCTGCAGCCCCAACTTCGCTCACAGGTGCTGGGACGGACCGCCCACAAGACATAGCCCAGGCTAGGGCTAGCGCTGTCCAGATCAAGCAGACCCTTACTGTCAAGGCCTGCGCTGACTTTGGCGACGCTATCTGCGTAGCTGCAGGGCTAACCAAGCTGGATTTGGCCACCAACCAGGTAGCCAAGACCGGCTTGCTCAATTACCGCGTCTTTGACGCGGAGCTCAAGAAGGCCGAGACCCTGAGCACAAGGAAAGGCTTTGCCATACCAGCGAGTACGCAGCACCATTTCTCTCACGTATAACCCTTCTAACCAGGTTTTAGACTACAAGCCCCCTGCTGGGCCAGCCGCTGTTGAGTGGATTGAGAACGGCTGGGACAAGTACAGAGGGTGCACCTTCACCAAAGTCGATGTCTCGTATGCTTTAGGCCTCAGCAAGACGGCGGCCCTGGACAATCACGGGTTCTACGCGAAAGGAGGGAAGCTTCAATCCAGCGTAGGGAAGTATATTCGGGATGCTCACCGTGATGATCGCTCCAAATCTATCCTCAAACTTGAGCGTAAATATGACGACGTTAAGCACGGCATATTCATACTGCAGATCAAGGCGCGGCTCAAGCGTGAGGAGGACGACGAGATCCCTACCCCTACCAAGAAATCTTCCAAGAAGCGCAAGCTGGAAGAAGCTGCGGAGGAGCAGGGGAAGAAGGCGAAGAAGAGCAAAAATTCGAAGGCGTTTAAGCAAGCCCTCCTTTTGGAGATCGCCGGTGGGGGGAGCAAAGGGAAGGGGAAGGGGAAGGGGAAGGAGACGGAGAAGGTTGTAGACTCCGATGATCTTGATGGTTCATCCAACAGCGGTAGCGTCTCTGACTCTGACGAGTAACTTGTTTAGCGGAAATGGAAATAATTATCATTTCTTCTATGCTTTATCTGCTGTGGATCCGTGTCTGACTACATGAGCCTGCCAGCCGTTGCAGTTCTTCGCCCAAGCATCGCCTTTTGGGTCTGTATGTAGAACAATTGTCGCTCGTCTGCCTGTGAAATGACAATTGAAATGTGTAAGATCACAAGACGGAAATGCCAAAACATCTCCCATCTGCAGATCGAACGAAAAGCCTAGTTCGTAGAGACCCAGCTGCCCGCCTTTGAAGTCCCCGAGTGGAATGACAAAGCACATAACTTTGTCCCCATCTCGGTGAGACCAGGTGCACGAACCAATGTTGAGCACAAATCCAGAGAAAGGGTAGGCCGGAGAGGAGGCCCCTAGGGGAAGCGTCTCCGCGAACATGCTGACTTTGTCGTACTGAATGCCGAGATAAAGCTTAAACTGCAGTAGATTTGTGAGTGAGACTTGAGCAAATAATACAACGCCACTTACCGCGACGCGGACGAGATCAAAGAAATCCGTGAAAGCATCTGCGATACGAAGATATTCTTCCTTGTTGAGGCGCAGCTCTTGAGATTCTCGAGGGCCTCTCTGCGAGAGGTTGGATTTCCCCTTCCCCTTCTTGCGCAGATTGTCAGGGTGGACATCGTCCGGAGCACCATCGCCCTGGCTCCTAAGTCAGTTGACGGTAATCAGAGATATACTAGGAATGCGTACCTTCTCACCAAAACGCGCATACCAGACGTAATGAACAGAAAGGTACTTGAAGAATTCCCGACGCGAGTCCTCATCCTTGAACTCTCCTGGCATTGCCGCATGGATGGCCTCGATGGCGTGGACTAGTTGTTGGCGGAAGTCTTCAGGTACACGATAGAATAAGAACATAAACTCGTCGTTGGAGTCTGAAACGTGCAAAGCCTCGCTAGAACTTATATCAGCAATTATAAGCACAAGAAGGAAGAGAACTAACCCGTTGAGCATTTTTGAATTCATCTCAATGTACTTCTTTGGGGTGACTTTCCCTCCCGCATGAAGCTCGGAGGACTGATACAATATATTAAAGAAAGTCGCCAGGGCGTTGCTGCACGTACCTTTCTGATGAAATCATCCATGCTGGTGACGACCGTGGCTTTTGATGCGAATCCCCTCT